ATGGCACCTAACAACAAACACCACCACCACCAGGGATGGGAGACTCAGTTCAAATTGTAAGACTGTTGGTCCAAATCCACCAGTCACTTCTTGGAAACCCTATACATGATGGCTATGGGTTAACAGCATTAGAAACAACAAGGAGTATTGGGGGGGGTGGGGGGAAGCTGGAGAAGTCATTGTTTAGGGGACAGCGAGGTTAAGTTAATGGTAGAGAAATCATTTGGAAAAAGATGTGAGAATGGTCATACAATTTGAAGAATATAGCCCATGTCAGGGAATTGTACCTGTAAAAATTGTTGAGCTGACGAATGTTTTGTTGCATACATTTCCACTACAATATGTTGTTGTTGTTGTGTGCCGTAGAGTCGGTTCCGACTCATAGCGACCCTGAACAGGGTTTCCAAGGCTGTAAATCTTTACGGGAGCAGAACGCCTCATCTTTCTCCCGCGGAACAGCTGGTAGTTTCGAACTGCTGACCTTGAGGATTGCAGCCCGATTCGTAACCACTACAACATAGACAGATATTTTTTTAAACAAGAGCACTTACCTTCCATTGGAAATTTCTTGGCTCGTTCCTCAAAGAACCATTGTCCACTCTTTATTTTCACATTTCTGAAAAGCAAGCAGATCAAGTGGACATGAACAACACTGTATTCGGCTCCGAAGAGGTAAGCAGTGCCATAAAATATTAGTATTAATATTAACATTAATATTAGACCTCAGGGTTCCATGTGCTGGCCCACACCCTTACCTTATAAACTTTACATTTGACTAGTTGCAAAACTGGGAGTTAGTGGCGTAAGATTAAGTAATTTGTTAGCAACAAAACTGGGAGTCTCAGTCTCTGTTCATTTTACCCTAGATTTAATCTGTACAAGGGAACTTTTAAAAAAATTGGTGAAACGCTCCATTGTCTTTCAGTTTCATTTTCCCAAGGATTCTTTGAAGCCTCCTCATGTATGTAATGTCTACATCTTAACATATGCATGTATCCAACACATATTATTGAATGCTTTCTGAATTGATATACAAAAAGAAACAAAATTGCCATCAAAATGATCAATGTACTGTGATAATGATGGGGGCCGAGGCATGAAAGATGAGCTACAGAACAATTCTACTCTCTCTCTGTCTCTGAGCACAGTAACTGTTTGCACCTCTCAGAGACAATTGCTTTATATAACCACCTAGGACCATCACTAGGCTGCAAATTACAAGGTCGGCAGATGAAACTCACCAACCAGTCACTCCTCAGAAACTCTATACAGGGTCATTATGAGTTGGAATCAACTCGATGGCACTTAACAACAATAATTATTTGCTAAGTTAAATTGGCACCTAGAGATTTCGGTACAAACTCACAAGTCTCTGAGGCTTAAAAAACAAAACAAAAACAAAACCCCAGGACCTCTTTCCAGCCAGCACTGAGTGATGGGTATCTCCTGGGACAACTGGCACAAACTTCACAAGACCGGGGGCATGAGAAAGCCCCACCACAAGAAGCAGAAGTATGAGCTGGGACGCCCTGCGGCCAACATTAATATCCCCACCCCCACCCCCCGCAAGCATGTACACAGTACGTGTTAAAGGAGGTAACAAGAAGTCCCAGGCCCTGAGGCTGGATATGGGAACGTCTCCTGCAGCTCTGAGCGTTGTAACTGGAAAACAAGGATCATTGATGTTTTCTAGAATGTGTCCAAAATAACCAACTGGTCCGCATCAAGACCCTAGTGAAGGACTGCATTATGCTCATTGACAGCACACCGTGGGCTGCAAGAAGGGAGTTAAACTGACTCCTGAAAAGGAAGAGGTATTAAACAAAAAGCGAACAAAGAAAACTCAGAAAAAAATACAATGAAAGGAAAAAGAATGCAAAAATCAGCGGTCTTTTGGAGGAGCAGTTTCAGCAAGGCAGGCTTCTTGCATGTATCGTTTCAAGACCAGGCCAGTGCGGCTGAGCAGATGGCTATGTTCCAGAGGGTAAGGAGCTGGAGTTCTATCTGAGGAAAATCAAGGCCTGGAAAGGCAAATAAAGCCCCCTCCCTCACACCCAGAACATGTATTAAAGGTGTTTATTTAAAAAAAAAAAAACCAACAACCCAGGACCCAGTACCATAGAGTCAACTCTAACCCATGGGTACCCTACAGGACAGAGCAGACCCACCCCTAGGGTTTCCAAGGTTGTCATCTTTAGGAAACAGACATCTGCATTTCTCTCCTGTAGAGGGAGCAGCTGAGCACTCAGCCACAATGTCGACAGGGCTCCTTCTCTCAGGTTTACCTGCGGTAGCGTAGTTCTTATAAATCAGGGTCAGCAGTTCAAAACTACCAGCTGTTCCACAGGAAAAAGATGAGGCTTTCTGCTGCTGTAAAGATTTCCAGCCTCGGAACACTGTACAGGGTGGCTATGAGTCAGAACCCACTCCACAGGCACATAACAAAAACAAAGAATGGAAGACTAAGGATCCCTGCGACAACCTGCCTCTTTTTTTTTTTTTTTAACAAAGGTAAATTTAATTAATCTTGAAATGCAAGTTTACAATCTCCATATGCTATTGGATTTAAATCTTTTAATAAAGACAATTAACATATGAGTTTCCTTTCAGGTCTATAAATGAATATATAATAATAGTAATAAAAGGGTCTCTACAGAGCTAGTTCAGCAGTTCGAAACTACCACCTGTTCGGAGGGAGAAAGATGAGGCTCCTGTAAAGATTGACAGCCTCGGAAACCACGTACAGAGTCTCTATGAGTCGGAACCAACTACACAGCACATAACCACCACCACCAAAGCAGGTGAATACTTGCATTTCAGTCCAAATAAATAAATAATATTTATAGTATATTTAAATGTTCCTGAACCTCACAATTTGTCTGCCCTACCTCCAGTGGTTACGAATCGGGCTGCGAACCGCAAGGTCAGCAGTTCGAAACTACCAGCTGTTCCTCAGGAGAAAGATGAGGCTTTCTGCTCCTGTAAAGATTTACAGCCTCAGAAACCCTGTACAGGGTCACTATGAGTTGGAACCGACTCCACTGCACATAATAACCACCACCACCTCCACCTTTACCAGGTAAGTAGCAATATACAAAAAATTGGACTGAAAATATGGATTTTTCATAAAGTCCCACAAAAGGACATTTAGAAAGCTAGTAAAAACAGTGTTTTCTTTAAAGACCACAGCACCTTTGTAGTCTAAAATACATTTACCTTAATACATCCTGATGATAGTTGTTTTCTCAACGGGTCTTGTTTATTTTCTTAAATGCTAATATTCTTAAAACTTTCAGCAATAGAAAATATTGGAGAGTAACTTCTCAAGAAGTCTTCTTGTTAAGACCTAGGATTATACCGACAGGCCTGGCTTCAGTTTATAATCCACAGGAGACTGTTGAATTCTGATCTCTAAAGACCAAACCAGAGTCTTCCATAGGCATGACCCTCATCTTCCAAATTAGAACAAGAATAGGCTTGAGGCAACCAGTGAAAGCTTCAAGTTTCTTCAGTTTGATGATAATTATCACCTGGTCTCCAAAAGCCACGTTTTTCACTCGCTCATTGTTGGTTGATTGCAAATAAGAAAATGATGAGAAAAGTCACATTTCCACAGGTGTAAACTGCAAAACCACCTTTTTAAATGCATGACTTCTGATTCAGCTGCAGTAAATGACTGAAGAATCTGGATTCTAGTATCATCCAATATTTCAACTTTCTGAGTGAGTCGGCAAGCATGTTATTTCCAGAACATTCTCAGTTCCAACATGCCAGATGACAAATCCAGTCATTGCTTAGGTTTTTTGTGATCCAGGAAGATTCAACCCTGGCTACTCCATTCCTAGGAATATCACTGTCACTGTTATTATTCTAGCAGCTCTTCCCATACTCCGGTGAATCCAGTTAAACATTTGCCTTCTTGGATCATGTATATGTGGCCTGAATACTGCCAGAAGCAGCTGTTGTTGTTGTTGTTAGGTGCAATCGAGTCGGTACCGACCCATAGCAACCTTATGCACAGCAGAACGAAACACTGCCCAATCCTGGGCCAACCTCTCTACTGTTGTCATGCTTGAGTTCATCGATGCTGCCACTTGGCCAATTCATCTTGTTGAGGGTATTCCTCTTTTTCTCTGACCCTCCACCTTTCCAAACATGATATCCTTCTCCAGCGACTGGTCTCTCCTGACAATATATCCGAAGTATAAGAGACAAAGTTTAACCATC